AGCTCCATTCAACACCACGAATTGCCTCTCCTCATTCCAAGTTTGCTCTGCAGGATGGAATTGGCATGGTGTGCGTGTGTTGGTGTTGCAAAGGATGAACAATTTATTTTTATTTTTAAACTCTAAAATGTGTTTAAACTGGGTTCCCTCCCTTCCCAGATTACCATATCAGGGTGTTGTTGTTTTTTTTAAAGTTAATAGTTTTAGACCAAGATTTCGAGTCAACACACCAAGAAGGCTTCCGTAACTAAGAGTCTGTAGGGGGAGATGGGGATTTTTTTTTTTTTTTTGGTCTCTTTTGTGGAGGGGAGTCACACAGAAAAGTATTGGGGTGGAAGGAAGTTGCACAACACGACAACATGGCCAGCAGCCTTGTCTCAAAAATCAGGTGCTGCTCATCATCTTGAGAAACTGTTACAAGGAAAGGGTGTCTCTTCTTGACTCTCTATATCCCCACGTTCCAGGTGGTGGTTTTAAACTGCACCGGTTTGTGCATCTGCTCTGAAGCAAGAGCCATCGATAACAGTAAGCTTTTAGTGCTTCACACATGGACCAAACCTTTCTATTTCTTTCCCTTTATAAGTGAAGAAGGCTATTCCCTTTTATCTCAGTATTAAAGCCCTTTTAGGGCTCAAATGTTTTCTTTTTTAAAATAATAATAATAATCTAAATGCCTTGGTTTCTGTTGGGATTTTTAAAAAAAAATCTATGCTCAGATCCTTTGAGTCTTTTCAATGCTCTTTATTCTCTCTTTCAACTCCTCTCTTCCTCTCTCTTTTCTTAAATCTAGTTTGGATTTTTCCTTTTCTAAACCATTTCTTTAGTTGTGATGCACTTATTTTTTTAAAGATTGCCAATCATTTGGACAATGGTTGGGAGATAAGCATCATCCAGCTGGATCATCAGCATTGTTTTTATCTCCCTGTGTTCAGAGGATGTGCATTGTGCTGGTACATTTTTTGAAAAAGAAAATATAGTCTACATTTTTAGCAAAGAGAAGATAAAATATAGCCCTTTCCCCTACCAATAAGCAAATTTCTATTTCCCTCTCATTTATTTTTTTTAATTGAAGAAAACAGGGAGAATTTTCCTTCTTCCCCAAGAACAGTTTTCTATCTCCTTTTGGTCTACAAACACAAGATTCAAAGCGCCAGTAATGTGGTAGAGTTTTTTCCTCCCTTCTTAACTTTTTACATACATCTGAGACCCTGCCTGTATCTAAACTTGAAGCAAAAAAAAAAAAAGTATTTTGTTGGGGCTTTGCATTTGTTCAGAGAAAGTCAAAAGCTCCCCAAAAGTGAAATCTCCATCCATTGCCTTCTCAGAGTCTTCTTCTAGGGCTTGCATTGCTTGTGATCTTCACAAGCCACAGATAGCTGTCACTAAGAGTTTTAAACTGGCTTTCAAAGATGCGGCTCAGCATCAATCAAAACCTGGGTGTGAAATCTCAGGTGCAAACTAAACCTCTGTGTTGAAAATGGAGGGCAGAAAACGGAGCACCCCAGGTTTCTCTTTAAGTAGGGTTGGGAGATCAGGGACTATACTGGGTTCTATTTTTCTAGAAGAAGTTAGCCACAAAGTTGTGGAGGGCAGACAACATACACAATGCATTGGTTCTCTTCTGGTGGCTTTTTCAGCATCACGCAACGCAACGCAGGCTCGCAATTGGAGGTCTTTTCCTGACTTTAAAACAGAGCCTTCCCTCTTTCTTCCCTCCCCTCCAATTCTCTGAGTTATATTTAAGTAACTTGTCTATATTAGACACCCTTGAACTCTACAGAAAAGTCCCCCACAATTCTCTATTTTTGTCTCGCGGGAAGGAAAAGAAGGCACGTATATTGGTTGGGTTTTTGTCATTATATAATTATTATTTTTCACAATGTTAACTATTTATGAAGTATTTAAGTGTGTCCCCCTCCTTTCTTTGGGGCAAGGGGGGGGTTAGCTCTTTTAAGAGGATGGGGATGGGGAGGGGACGGACATTTCTCTCTCTTTCTTTAGCGTATCATTATAGGCCTTGCTTCAGAAGATTTTAAAGGAAACAGCAAGTGGAGATAGTTTTATTTTTGGAAGAAGAAGAAGAAGAAGAAGAAGAAGAAGAAGAAGAAGAAGAAGAAGAAAGACTGGTGTTAAGTTGTGTAGTTTCTAGTCACAAAAGGAGCAACGCAGGATGCAGAAACGGGAAAACTCAGACTTCATGGTATGGGAATCGGAACGCTGCGTGGAGACATTGGGAGTGCGCAAAACATCTCTTCATCTCGATGTGTTGTGGGTTTTTGTCGCTTGGTCATCTGTGCTGCTGCCGCTTCTTTCTTTTTCCAGAAGGCACACTGTTGTCGGTTCACACAGACGTTGGGTTCTGTCCCACTTCGCCCACCGTTTCCCGAAAAAATGCGTGCCCGGTTTATCGGTTGTCTGACGTGCGCCGTGCATTATGCGACTCTGTTCAATAAAGCTCTCTTTAGTTCTTTTTCTTCTGAGAGTGATGGACTGTTCCACTTATGGGCCACTGTCGTCATAGTCCAGGGATGGGCAACTGGGGGATATTGGGGGACCCCCAGGAGGCCTTGGAAACATAATAGGCTCCTGAGAATAATAATAATAATAATACATCTTTTTGCCCCTTAATGCCATCTGGAGACATGAGGGATACTTTCACCACGCTTCTGGGAAGTGAGCAGAGGATACTTCTTGTATCTCAAAAGTCTTCTTCTGGGGCCAGGGGTCCCACAAAACATGGTGGAAATGACCTTCGGATCCCAAGAGCATGAATAAAACCCAAACGTTTTTGACCGCTGGGGGTTATAGAAATGGCCCTGGTGGGCTGCACGGAGCCACGGGGCATACTTTCCCCGCTCCATCTTAATCTAAAAGGGAAGCTCTTGGGAAAAATCTGGCGTCACCTTTAAGGCACGTATTATTTTAACAGCAGCTGTTTGGGGATTCTTTCAAATGTGTGCTTTTATTTCTTGCAACGCAGGGCCCCGGGGCAGTTCATGGCATGAATTAAAGCAGAACACAGCTTTCAAAAACAGATCACAGTTGACCCAAGTTAATGTCAAGTGCTGTTGAAAGAACGAAACCAGGATGCTGCTAGAGTCAAGGACAGGCGTTAGCAAAGGCTGCATCCGCATGGCAGGGATAATCCGGTTTGACAATGCTTCTGGGAGTTGTAGTTTGTTGTGGCACCAGAGCACTTGGACAGAGAAAGCTAGATGTGCCAAAGTCCCTAGAATCCCATCGTGTTGAGCCATGGCAGTTAAAGCGGTGTCAAACTGGATTATTTCTGCAGCTAAAGCTGGCATATTCCTGGACATGGTTTCTCCAAGAGAAATGTCTTTAGGTAGCTGGTGGTGAGACAGGCATCTCTGATCTCCACTTTTCTCTCCATTTTGCTCTTGGCTCATGCTCTCAGAAAGGGATTTCGGAGGCATACGGCTACAAGAGGATCGCAGAGAGCAAGGCTACCCAAAACTGGTGGATTTATGCCGGATGACTTTGCGTTCCAGGGAGAAAGAAGCCGTTGTAGTCCATGGGTGCAAAAGCAGGGTCCCAGAAGGTCCCCTAATGAGTCTTTCCCAAGTCCAAGTTTAACCGCAGATGCACTGCTTCAACCTGACAAAGTCCTGTGTTCCTCCAGCCCCTCCGCCCTCCTCCTCATGCCAATGCTGCTAAAAAGCTTACGCTTGGGCAGAGGATGAGGAGGAAAAGGGCTGCGCGGGTGCAAAATGCCCTTGGCTTTGTCAATGGAGGGATGCCTGTGCAGTTGGCACTTCCAAGAGGTCGCTGTACCAGTCTGGGCACTGGCCGGCCCCATATTTCCCAGGACTGCAGACTGGGGAAAGGGACTCCAGAGGCCATCTGTCCCACTCAGCAGCCAACTGCAGGAATCATTGGCATTGCACAACAGCGCTTGGAGACCTTACTTCTGCAGGAAGAGAGCTTCCAGAAAGGCCTTTCAGGACCTGGAAGAGGCCTATTTCATGCCTTCACTGCCAATGCAGTGGCACCGAATGCTTCCTGCATTCCCACTTCCCAAAAAATGGGGGTTCCCAAAGGGAGAGAGAGGACTTTGATTTGCTGGGATGGGATGGGATGCCAAGAACGACCACCAGGGGGCGCCCCGGTATACACCAAGGCCGAAGAGGCTGCAGTCGTATTCCTGGGGGCGTGGCCTCTTTCCCTGCACGGGGCGGGGCGCCGCCTCATTAAGAACGTCAGACCTCTGTTCCAGCTGACGGATCCTGGGAGCTGCAGTCCAACAGAGGGGGGCCTTTTGCAAGTCTGAGGGGGGATTCTGGGCTGTGCAGTCCTTTGTCAAGTCTGGGGCTTGCTGCCAAAAAACAACCCAAAACTACATCCCCGTGATCCTTTGCGAGGCCAAGGCGCGGTGAGGAGGCGGGGCCGACGCCGCGCGTGCGCAGTAGCGCCACTCTCGCCTTTAAGAATCCTTTTCCTTTCTTATTGGCAGACACAGTCCAGCCAGAGTCACGTTGGCGCAGTGGTTTGGGCGCTGGACTAGGGCTTTGGAGAGCAGGGTTCGAATCCTGCCTTGGCCAATACTGTATATCTTATTGGGAGAAAGGAGGGAATATAAGAAAAATATAATAGAATGTAAGAATTATTTGAATGCCCAGTTTGTGACTGACAGGAACGAAGCGTGACAAGGGCCAATGGGAAGCTTAGAATGAAGGGGAGGGGGAGGGAGTATACTATTTGACGAGCAGGTTTAACGGGCCAATGGGAAGCCGAGGCGGGAAAAGCCACTCAGGGCAGGAGAAGGCGGACTCATTCGCTCGTTCGTGAGGGAAAGAGAAGGGAGCTCCTGAGGAGACTGAGGCCCAAGAGGGCGTTTTGATAATTAACATTGAGTGTTTCCACATAATTTAAATACCTTTACAAACAATACATCAAGCTTTACGTCACTACTATATAAAAGAGTTCATTACCGATTGATACAATATAATATACCGTCTAAAGGTGAGCGAATGCATATGTTTCTACGAAGAGGGATCCCTTTCTGAAATATCTATAGATATATACGTGGTATCTAAATCACGTAGATTTTTAGCCTTTTTTATATTCCTTTACCCTTCTCTCCCCTCATTGATGAGGGTAATAATAATAATAATTTATTATTTATTATTTTATTGAGTTTTTCCAACATTATAAAACATAAATAATCATGGTATAATAATAGTACCACATGGCTATTTAAATATCTTTCCAGTCACTATATCAAGCTTTGCTACAAGTTAAATCTTTCATTAGTTACTGAAAGATGTATCTCTAGTGTAGGGGTAGGCAACCTTTCCCCTTTAAGGGCCGAGGGACTTCAGCTCCCAGAAGCCTCAGCCATGTTGGTCAATAGTCCCATGTTGGCCAATAGCTCCTGGGATTCTGGGAGTTGAAGTCCCTCGGCCCTTAAAGGGGACAGGTTGCCTAATACAAATGGATGGGTGAAGTGTATGTTTCTACGAAGTGATACTGTATTCCTTTTTGAGATATTATATATATATATATATATATATATATATATATATATAAGATAGATACACACACACATGCTTACTTCTGATATATATATACTTCTGATATATAGATATATACACACACCCTTCTGGTGCCTAAATCGTGTAGGTTTCTAACTCTTTTGTCTTATATTCCTTTCCCCTTCTGAGGGGAAAAAAGGGCATGTGTGTGAAAGGGCAGCAGCATTTTAATTTTCTGCCCTTTTCTTTTTGAGCAGTATTTTAAGAGCTTTTACCTCCAGAATACACTGCAGAAATAATCCAGTTTGAGACCACTTTAAATGCCCTGGCTCAATGCTAAGGGATCCTGGGATTTGTAGTTTATTGTGGCACCAGGGCTCTCTCTGACAGAAGGCTCAATGTAGTCTCACAAAACTACAGTTCCTAGAATTTTAATTTAAGAATAATAATAATTTAAGAATAATATTTTAAAGTATTATTATTATTATTATTATTATTATTATTATTATTATTATTATTATTATTATTATTATTATTTAAGAACTTTAAGAATTATAACAATTTAAGACTGAAGCACAAAAGGGCAGGAATGAGGCGTGAGGGGATTTTTACTTTAAAAAGGAGGGAAGAGGAACCGCTTGAGGAGATTTTGGTTCAAAACACACTATAAAAATAATCCAGTTTGAGACCGCTTTAACTGCTCTGACTCAGAGCTAGGGAGGTCTGGGAATTATAGTTTTGTGAGACATTGAGCCTTCTCTGTCAGAGAGTTCTAGTGCCACAATAAACTACAGAGCCAGGGCAGTTAAAGAAGTCTCAAACTGGATTATTTCTGCAGTTTGTTTTGGACCGCTATGAGGTTATTTGAGATACAAATTAATAAAGATGATGTATTTAAGA